TTAACATCTATGTGCGTAAAATATATTTAATGAATTCAAACTGAATCCTCAGCCACCGGACGAAAGACGATCATGGGGAAAGAGGATTAAGTGTCTCTTTGTGCCGGTCCCTTCATCTCTATGGAAGGGAAGAGTGAAGGACTCCTTTTCCTTCATCCATTCTATACTCGTCAGCCAAAAAATTACCAGAGAAAATTACAAATTGCTTCTGTCATGGCACAAATGGATTTGATGACTTCACTGGCATAGGTTATTTTGATTTGTACTGATGATGTGTTCTACTGATTAAAGTATGCTGTCAGTCTTTGAAAGTGGTTGTAAGACTGACAAAATGAAAGTATCCTAGACAGGTAAAGGAGCTGCCCAAATGGGGATAATTATGTAGGGATCTTGAGAAGTAAAATGCTTTTGAAAAATGATTTTTCAGCACTGAACTTTGAAAACTGCTGTATTAGATGGGAATGTGCTGAAACAGTAATGAGACAACCAGGTGATGAGTCATAACTTGCTCTTTCTGTAAATATAAAACACCTACATGGAGCCAAAGGGCAAAGAGCAGAGGAAGCCTTTATGAACACCTTTATCAGTGTGTGTGTGTGTGTGTGTGTGGAGGTTTTTTTCTATACATGTGCAGATTGAAAACTGGGAGCACACTAACTTCGTGGGGACCAGCATCACTTGCGGGGACCAGAGACCGGTCCCAACAGTCACTGCACTTACATGCACTTAAGTAACCGTTTTCTGAGGAACCAGGTAACGTTTACATGCACGACAGTAATCGGGTTAATCAAAAACCCCAGTACAAGGCCTCTAAGCCCACTGAAAGTGGAAAGATGTTGTTTGGGTGTGTTCATAACTGGAAAGCCGGACATCATTATGCGACTGCATCCTCCCATAAAAAAGATGGACCTGGCCGATCAAGCTCGTATTTTGGTTTCTTTAGCGATGTTTCACCTGCAAATCGTAACATTAGCTGCCACATTAGTCGTGAAATTAATAATGGCAAATAGAAGATGCTGCTGCTGCTGCTCGCCATGTTGATAGTTGTCTGCTTACTCCAATGACAATTTCCTGTTTTTCTCCAGTCACATGCACACAAGCAGCCTTGGAACTTGTCTTTTGTACATGCACTCTTGTATAAAGCTGATTAGAACCCTGGTTACACTTATACTGTACAGAGAAATGGATGTTTCCCAGGAGAAATCTACCTGGGGAAATCATGTTTCCAATACCCTGATTAAAGAAACCAGATTTCTCGTTTACATGACAGATCAGCCGATTGTAACCTGGTTACTTAAATGCATATAAAAACAGTGTAGTTTGCCAAATTTTACAAAGATGACACAGTGTAAAGTTAGAGCAAGTGTAGGCTTTTTGATTAGGGTTATGGTGAAGATTAGGTTAAGTCTCCCAGAAATAAATGTAAGTCTATGAGCGCTTTCAGACCAAACAGTTCTAGGGCCTTAGTTTTAGGAATTACCCCTCTAGGAAGCTCCCCCAAGAACTACATACCTTAATGGGCTTTTTTCTGTTTGCATTCACACTGACAGTAGGAACGCTGACGTAACATAACGATAAAAGCCAGTTGACTGTTAGCAATTAGCCAACAAGATCACAACAGTTAACGCAAAGCAATGTTACCCTACTGGTAAGTATTCTCTTTATATTGTTAGATATTCTTAGTCAGATAGATATTGGATAGATACTTTATGTATTAGAAATGTTTAGTGGAGATAGGATGTCTAGTTAGACTGTTAAATGCTTAGGCCTGCATATGAGTTTCTACAGGGTACATCTGGTCAAGGATAACTAGAGAGAAGAGTTGATGACTGTCAGCAGACAGGGTGTTTAATATTATTATTACGACGTGTATAACTGTAGCCTTAGCCATAATATGTTCTTATGTTTAAGTCACGACATGTACTAGATAAAAAAGGAAAAGGAAACATTTGGCATTGTTGACAGGTATGCAGAGTTTAAGCTGTGCCAATGCAATACTACACTTAAGTGACATGTTTTATACCACTTCACTTTCTGATTTGACTGTGTTCACTTAGGTCAGCATCATATGGTACTTTCAGAATAAACAGTTCTAGGGATTTAGTTCCCACAAGAACTACACACCTACGTGGGTCTCTTTCTGTTTGCATTCACACCACCAGTAGGAATGCTAAGAAAACATAACATTAACCTGGCTTACTTTTAGCGTTTAGCCAACAAGCTCAAAAGTAAACGATGTTACAGTACCGTTAAGTATTTACTTTTTACAGTATGTTGCTAAAATTAATTATACAAGGAGCCACTAACCCTCTGCAGAGGCTTTCATTGGCAGGCTGCACCTCGCCGTGCAACTAGTGATGAATGTTGATCTCTACTGTTTACAGGGCTAACACATAAAAAAAAAAACAAAGACAGCACTGCTGCAGTCAACAGACATGTACATCACTCATGGTTCCTATCATGCTTGGACAGTACCTACCCTGAACCTTAATCTCAAAACAGCCTTCTAAGAACGATTATCATTCTCAATTCCTGTGGTGAAAAAACACATACAAGAAGGTACTTTGTCCAACACTTCTATGAACCATAAAAAAGTTATTCACTCTATGTCTATATTCAGTCAGTTGGCTCCTCCAAAAAGAAACAACTTTGTCTTTTTGATATTGAAAATGTAAAGAGTTAACTGTGTTTTTAAGCTATTAAAGAGATAAACAGAGTAGTGTCAGGGATTCAAGGCCGTGAAGCAGCTTGCCCTCTCAGTGCTTCACTGCAAAACTGTGAACAATTTAATTGAGGGCCGTCATCAGATATCACAACATGGTCAGTTTTTCAAAATTTTTACAGCTACAAGCAACAGCTGTCAGCTATTGCCAAGGTAACACCACATTTTAGTGTCATAATTGTTTTTGAAATGTCAAATTGTTATACCTGTAATATGGAAATTTAAATGCTCTCATGGAAGATTGGTACATCTAAAATTCAGGACCACGCCTCAATCAAGTCATTTCCCACCCATGTCGAAGTTCCTCCCTGCTCATCCAATCAGCTGCTTTTGCTTTTTGTATCCCCACCTGCCCTTCCCTTGTTTTGTTCTCCTCCTTTCCCTCTCTCTTTCTGTCTGTCTCTCTTTCTCTATATTACAGGGAGTCTGCAGACCTGGGAGCAGCGGAAGTCACCTCCAAAGCCTTCCCCACGCTGCACATGACCTCACGTCGATGTCATCTCACCTCTTCCAGTGCCCTTACCCCACCGCTGTCATTCTACACCAATAAATTCCGTCCAACTGATGAAGTGGTCCTTGCTAGTGAACTGTAGCAGGCTAAGTTCATCTTAATTGGACTTTTCAGAAACTGGCTGTCAGGATGTCAACAAGCAATACTTCATATCTATTAGATTTCTTTCTTGTGGAAATAAACATGACTATCCTTGGTTAAACAAACAACCATTTTTGTTTGTTTGTTTGTTTGTTTGTTTGTTTTATAAGGCTCTAAGAGACACATGACAGTTGAAGGAACTCTTGGCGAACACATCTCCAACCAGCAGGTCTGTGTCACCAGCTGAAAACATGTATCCTGCACATTCATTTTTTGATTATTAATATATATTGTTGATGTTGTTTTCTTGTATAACCCATCCAAATAAGTAAACATGCTCTACATCTCAATTAGAATTTAATAAATTAACTTGATTAACTAATAAGCATATGGTTGCAATGATTACATGCTTGACTACACTGGTGCACAAACGTTACTGCTACTCCAATGAGAGAATCTCAGCATTTAAAGAACCCTAACCAATAAAAATGATTTATTTAAATATGGTTAAGGAGCTGAATGTCACAGTTTGTTTTTTTTTTTTTTTGTTTTTTTTACAATATTCAGAAGCGCTGTTCTGTTTCCTTCCTATCAAATATGCATCTTGTTTTCATCTTCTCCATGTTACCAGTACAATGAGGGAAATAAAAGTATTAACTGAGCACATTTTCTGTATGTCTTAAATAAAGTGTATTTTCACTGCTATCTCCAGTCTCAGTTTATTTTCATTTTGCTGGCTCTGCTTGCTAAGATACATGAATGGAGCAGGTCAGTCAAAGCAGATGTCCTACCTGTGCAAAGCCAAAGATCATAAATAATAAAATGCAGTTGACTTATACGATTAGTGATATAGTGAGTCATTAATTTCATGATTTTTTTTTTAGAATAAATTCAGTCTTTTGTAAATCTGTTTATCTTCACATTCCAAAATTCAGGAATCAAAAGCAACCCAAACTCTAAGTGTCCATCTAAAGTCACCGCCCAGATAGTACACACAGCTGTGCACCTTAGCTGCAAAGATAAACCAGGTACCAAAAGCTCTAAGCTTTTATAGATTTATAGATTTTGGAGAAAATGAAGCGTTCCAAACTGTTGTGGTCTTTCTCTCACCTTTCCTTGGCTGTAGCCACTTCCACCCTGATATCACTTCCCGATGCTTTTCTACTATTTAAACAAAGGGTACATCATAATAAACCCACAGGATAGTTCATTAATAATATTATTAGAAACTGGGAGAGATAAAATATTGTATAAGGAGCTAGACAAAAACAATTATTAAAGGTCATTTCAATCGGATTATTGATTATACCATAGATACACAAGCCCCTCACACAATATTGCATTTATTACATGCTGTGGAACATTAAACTTCTCATTTCCCGTCAAACCTGTCTTTATGCACACATCTGGGGTTCAGTAAAATAGGAGCATTGCAGGGATTTCCCCGTATATGGCTCTGGATGTTAAAAAAAAAGGAGCAAATTAACTTAATTACCCAGCTTATTAAGCCTCGACAAACAAAAGGTGCCTATATTTAAACCTCTTTGTTTCAATATGATTTTGCATGAGACATCTGTTTCGTTACTTCTGTCGATCTGTCTTATAAATTTCCACATAGGCTAGAAGTCATATACTACCTCTTTATGTTACACACACATCAGAGCAGCCACGGTATGTGAGACTCACCTACAATGAACCACAGGAGCGTCTGTTTCTGCGGAGCTTCCCCAGTCTTCGAGCTCATCCTGTCGCGCTAAGACTTGCCCACTGACTGAAGTTAAGGACGGATGTGAAGGGGCGAACAACTTCCTAGAGCCTAAAGAGTGGTAGATAACATCTTAAGTGACAGCTGGTGAAGAAATCCATGTAGCGTGGCCATCAGCCAGTCACAACATAAGCCTGTCTTGTATCACCTTGCGCAAACTGCTCGCAGGGGAGAAAACCAAGACTCGTCCTTGTTCCGCTGTACTTAAACTCCCCCAAGGCTTCCTGTCATAGATCCTCTGTCGTCCTGACATGAAACATACTGAGTCATGAAGTTGGATTTATCTTTCCAACTAGTCGTTGTGAGATTTGGAGAAATCCGGGGCGTGCTTGGTGAGGTGTGCAGTGTTGGAAACTGTGCTGTGCGCAATGGGACGCATCAGGCTGGGACCGGTGGAGCTGAGAGACTCTGCCTCTCTCTCAGCGAGGACACGGGTGTGGGTGAGCGGAGGGGACACGGGGTAGACCTAAACATAGCAATTACAATGCAGGGGAGAGGGGGTGAGGGTGATCGGAGGGAGGAGTCACTGGGCTCCTTATGTAGACCACTTTTTCATGGGTTAATTAGAAAACGTTACATACCGGCGGCCAAAGCTAAAACACATCAACAAACAAAGTAACGGGATATAGACTGTACTAAATTGGTGTGACACCTTCTGAAATATCAAGTATGCATGTCAGTGTTGTCAGTATTAATCAGATGGACCACCACGTTCAAACTAAAAATGTAGCTTCATTCTTCGCCTTTGGTGTTTAAGTAGGATATGAAAGGTAGCTGAGCAAGTTAACATGTATTAGATGTGATAGTGGGGAAGCTGTGGGGTTGTAGACAGACACACGCAGTGTGGAGACTGTGGACTTTAGTTCAGGATGAGAGGCTTCAGCGTTGTGCGACACCGCCATCTAGCGGTCACCAGAATTTTTACAGTGCAAGTTCGCAGAACTAAACATGATGAAGATTCAAGAAACTATTCAGACCCCTTTATTTTTTTACAAACTTTGTGTTGAAGATTAAATTTAAAACTGACAAAATGGCTGCCTTGCCCATCAATCTATGCTCAGTAACCCAATAAGTGAAAACATATTTTCAGAAACCTTTGTAAAACCTATTAAACAACAATTAGCTGTGCACACCTGGATTTGGGCAGTTTATCCTAATCTTCCTGACAGATCTTCAAACTTTGTCAGATTGAATATAAAATGTCTAGTCTCTCCACAGATGTTTCAGTCTGGGTTTTGACTGCGCCACTCGAGGACAGTCAGAGACTTGTCCTGAAGAGACTCCAGTGTTGTCTACGCTGTTTGCTTCAGGTCATTACCCCAGTCTCAGGTCATGTGCGCTCTAGAGCAGTCCTTGCTGCTGACAAACACTCCCACAGCGTGATGCTACCACCACCATGCTGCTTGTGTTGACAGGCAGTGTGCATTGTGGGATATTATATAATGTACACAGCTGTGTTCCTTTCTAAAGTATGTCCAGTCATTTCAGTTTGTCACAGGTATTCAAATAAAGAACATGTTATCATTTTATTTCATAAAAGGATGAAATGTTTTGAAGATAACACAGCAAATTTAAAAAAAAGTCAGTGTTTTAGTTTTATCAGAAATGAATAAAAACCAAATTCCCCCTGTGCAGTTCCCTGCCATTCACCCAGTGTGAGACATTGCAGTTATTATGAGAGGGAAAAACATCAATGCAATATTTCATCTCATTTCACTCCAATTTCACTGCAGCAAACCCACAGTTTATATTTTCATCTACACTGCACAGGTATTCTCATCTTCTTGTGATTGGACTGTACACTGTGCTGCTTCATGTTCATTATCAGAGAATAAGTGTGCTAGACAATATGGAATGTGGCAGAAACGTAATTTTACCTCAATTTCTGTCCATTTCTGTGAAGACTTTCTACTGCGCTTGAGTAAAATGCCCACCTACCTACTAGAGCCTCAACACAGACACACACACACACACACACACACACACACACAGAGAGAGAAACCAATATGCAGCATTTAAAAGAACAGCATTTCGTTCAAAATGACCAAAAACTGCTCATTAGTAAAAACAGGTGATTAATTAAAATTATTATATGTATGATTATACTATTTTCTGTTTTTATTGCAGCCCCCTGTACATTTAGTTCAGGCTGATGACTTGTTGATGCATATGAATAATGAGCCAAGTGACAGCTCAGTATTGCACATAGATTTTCAGTAAACCTGTGGCTGCACTGGGCTCACCAATAAATGCTTCTTTCTGTGCTGGCAAAACTGTGGAAAAGCTGATTGTTTAGTTAAAAAGACAGTCAAGTGCAAAAGTTACTGCAAGAAAGCCAAACTCTATCAGTTTCGCTGTGTATGTAACATAATGATATTTGGGGGAAAAACAAAAAAACTGTTGGCAGGTCTCATTTTGTCTTAATGTGTCAGGCACCAAATAGTCTGCTGGCTTTTAAAACCACTGCTTGTCTGTCTGTCTGACTGACTGACTATCTCCAAGGCAACCAAGTGTAAACATACAGCAGGAGGTGTGCGAGGAAAACAGAAGAAAGGCAAGGAAACACCAGAGTGCAGATTTTGTTGAGAAGGACCAAAGGGTTGCATGTCAAATGTCCACAGAAGGTCAAATAAGACATTGCTGGATGAGTTCATCAAGGAATCTGAAGAACAAGAATGAAACAAATGACATCACCACAGTAAGTAGGAATGAGTTCATTTCAATATTATACTGCAATTCATGGTTATTTTAAAGCTGCTAAGTATCACTAATGAGGAGTAACGCTAACACCAGTGTCCACAAAGTTTCTTTACCTCTTTTAAAATGCACTTTCTTCATATGTACATATTATATTGCTTTTAATATGATGATATACACTTCAGCCATCTTGCCTGTTGCTCTGTTGGTGCTGGCAAACATTAAACCAGAGGGAGCCATTTCTATTCTGCGCATGTTTCCATTACTTCAGGCAAAGCAAGGCATGTTTATTTATACAGCACATTTTCATACACATATAGGCAATTCAAAGTGCTTACCCCAATGCACAAATAGATAAAACATTAGAATGCAAATCAGATTAAAACATTCATGCAAATTAAAAGCAACAATTATGTGATAGCACAAAGAAGCAACATGCAAGTGTAGATTACTTAGTACTTTTAAGTTTTGGCAGACTGTGGATTCTCACTGTTACCATTAAACTGTTGTACCCTTTTATACTTTCTTCTCAAGACTAACCTCTGAGTATTTTACTGGTACGTTCTGGAAATTTGAAATACCAGTGTCTATAGAGTCAGCAAATGTCAGGAGACATTACATTGACTGACATTCATTTCCTGGAGACTTACTGAAACCTTAACTATAAACACTACCTGCCTTACCTCACCCTAACCTTAAACCAAGTCATGAGCTGAGACGTAAGGACATAGAGTCCCCACAATGTGACTGTGTAAACAGATTTACATCCCCACAAGATGCGTAATACCAGGTCACTCACACACACACACACACACACACGTATGCATGCTCCTGCACGTACGCTTGTAAGCTTGTAATAGAAAACAATTTTATTGAATGCATGATGATGTATGTTGTGGTGACTCAGCAGCTGCAACAGTGAAACAATATTTCCTATTACACCCTCTGTGTTGCCTCTGCAGGGAGCAGTGGCTCATTAAAGACTTACAGCAATAACATGACAATTACTACACACAAACATATGAGACCACTGAAAACACAGTTGAAAGACCTGCATCGCAGGAATTAGATTTTTTCCCTCTAATTTTTCTCCAAAATAACAATAATAGAAATGCTCATGTCAGATTCCAAACATTAATTTGCCATCAGTTCACACAGATCTGAAAAGGAACCGATGGAGAGAAGACAGAGAGAAGACAGTGAGACAGAGGAGAGGTGGCAGGGTGATGATGAGATGCTGACAAGAGAGCAGGAGGAGGAAAATGAAGATGATTTGCTATTCAGCCTTGGACAAGACGGGGATGACAAGGAGGAGCTGAAGGTCTTTGAATCTGAGGATGAGGAGGATCAAGGATGCACTCCCCTTATAACAGCCTGTCATAAAGGCGTGACAGAGGTAACGTGTGTGTGTGTGTGTGATGGGGAATTTGTGACATGGGGTTGTCTTGTTGTAAATTTATGGCTATATTACTTAGCAGATCCAATGTTAGTCCATTGTTCACTGGAAAATTCCAACATTTAAACATGTTTGTCAAAGGCTGGGGGACAAAACAGTTCTGCCACATGACAGGCTCCTATCAATAACACTAACACGTGTCCACGTGCATGTGTGATCTACATGGCCCAAATCTTGCTCTTTGCATCTTCTGAGGGAGCCATGTTCAAAACAAGCATGTGACTTACTGATACCACAGAAGGCCTCAGGGGATATGCTCCCCATGTGAATACTTATTACCACAAACATAAATGCCAGCAGCCAACTGCAAATCCTTTGGTTTTAATCTACAAGTCTACATCTGACATTAGCTAACTATTTTGCTTTTTTCTTGAAATTTACCGTTTTTCTGCCTGATGCTATCAAAAGGTGACGCAGCAGCTGCTGAAGACCGGGGCTGATTTAACCTTGTGTAAGTGTAGCCAGCAGACGGCCCTCCATGTAAGCCCTCCTGAGCTCAGGGGAAAAGTGCTGGGTTGGATGTCAAGGCCTCATCTGCCTCCCCAGGCACAGCTGCTGCAGGCTTCCTGGCAGGGAGACTTGCACTCCCTTCAGCACCTGCTGGTAAAGCTCCCACATGAGCACAAAACACGTTCACTTGGGTGATCGAAGATTTAGCAGATAAGGAATGAAAACAAAGGGCAACAATAGAGATTTCCTATTAAAAGCACAACTAGATATTCTGTTTATGTTTAATGGGTGTTTCCAGCTGGTCAGAGTTATTATCTCAGTCATTACATTTATGATGGATGGAGTTCATCTGCCTGCCTGGTTTCTCTAATGACTCCAAATTCTGATAGTAACAAGATGCTTTTATGGTGTTGGAGCCAAAAACTGATTTTCATTTTCTTAAACCAACACTCTTACAAACTTGTAAAACAAAAACCAATTTAATAATGTAATTCAATTATAATGTGAACAACATGTAATGAAAACATATTGAATTGTACATGAAAACTCTTTCCTGAGTCAAACTCTGCCCAGGACAAAACACAGTCCTGCAAATCTTGCTGCGTACTGTATTTGTAAATGTGATAAGTAGATTCTTTTTAACGATGAGTCAAAAAACCAGTGCTAATTTTTAGACTGTACTGCTGTAGCACATAATAAAATCTGTGTATAAAATATGATTTTCCTAATCCTTAAATCAAAAATGTTTATTCAAAGGCTCTGAAAACAAATGTACTCAATAATAATAGCTGAGTTGTGAATTTTAAACTTAAATCATTTAAACTTTATCATTTCAAACTAAGTCATAACTGTTTAATATATTGAGAAAAAAGTAAAACTTCACAATGTATAGTTTTATAATATATCATTTTCTTCTGAACTGAGTTAGAAAATTCTGTCACTGAAAGATGTGTTGGTATTTTGGGGGCACAGTTTTTAATAAAACATTTTTTAGTTTCTAAATTAGAAAAAAAGCACAAAACAATTTGTCTCACTTCTCAAAACAAACAAAAACACGGTAACAAAAAAAAAAAGGAAATCAAATCCTAGCATGTTTTAGCCATCAATCTGAGAGTTGCACTTCAGACTTGATGACGTCTAGGTCTTGTTCCCTTTGTAATCCTTCGTCCTTGGTGGCGTTCACAGTTTAAACATTGCTTCATCCTAAGTATTATACAGGTTTGTTTAGTGTGTGTCTGCGCATGTTTCAGGCCCAGACAGACAAAGTGGATGTGAACGCTCCTAACAGTGACGGTGTGACACCTGCGTTGCTTGCTGTCAGGGACATTGACCTGTTTGAGGGCTTAGCAACACAGTTGCCATGGGAACACAGGCCTGTGGAGGCGGTTAAGGAACTGCTAGGACTCACAGCGTAAGAAAACATGCACGCACTAATGTGTAAAATGTATACAGACAAGAAAGTGCACACATAAATGTTTCTGTAGTCACACCTGCAGCAGTTGCCAGCTGTCTGTATTTTAATTTGACAAAAGAACTGCTTTTGATTTCAAATATTTCAGTGCCCCAACAAGGCCTTGGCTTCAAGTAGTACATTCATACTGACACAACAAAAGGAAGCGTACTGTAATGCAAATTTGAAATGTCTCAAGGTTCTTAGAGGCAACATTCACTTACATTTGTTCTATCTGTCTTTAAATGTCTCAATCAGTGATCTGCAAGTACAATACCACAGTGGTCGCTCTGTGCTCCACTATGCTGCTAACCTCAACAGCCCTCTGAAGGAGGAGATCATTTATATGATGGCTGAGGTCCTAAGTCACACAGGTACACATAGACACGTCAGTCACACCCAGACAAAGGAAGCATATATTAATGTGATTTAGTGGATATATGGTTTTGTAATTCAAAGTCTACAGCTGCACTATTCAATACTTTTTATTAGCAATGGATGAAACTGCTATGTGTGATGTGTCACGTGCACTGATGAACTTACAGATATTTACCATCCTGCTCCACAGTCCCTCTCGATACAGGATTTAGCATTTCAGCTTTAATGTTTTGGTTCAGTCTCATTTCTCTCATAATGCCATTTTCAGCGGCAGCAGGCAGCTGACTGTATGCTACCTGCTCAGACCCACACAACTAACACCCAAAGGTAGCAACCACCTAGAAGCTAGTTGAGCTAAAGAGTCACACTTTCCTCAGAAGTTGGAAACTTCATCTTCATATGGTGATAAAATGCCAATGCTTACAGCTTTTTTCACTGCTCCAATGCTGCTGTAAACCTGTGGGGAAATTCTGATCTTAGCTCAAAAGGTGCATGTGATTTACTTTAGAAAACATAAGAGTTATACAAATATTAGTATATTCTCATGTTTCTTTCAAAACAATTATTATAATCTATTTGACTTTATGCAGTTAATGAAAATGTTTGGAAGCTGAAAATAATCCTGCACAGGGGTTTCCCTGTGTTCCTTCATTCAGGAGAAGATAAAAAACTAAACGTGGAAATGAAGAAAGGAAATATAATAGCATAATACTGTATTAAATATATTAGTTCATAGGTAGCCGTATGCAAACATACATTCATTGGTTACTGATTAATTTATTAGTTACTTACAGTATGTAATTGTCCACATGTGCACACCACTAAATACATGCCTTTATTCATGCATATGACTACGCATACATACTTTTTCTCTCATTCCTACACATACAAACAACATACCAAGTTCATTCATATTCCTGTTTTTCTGCTACTGAACTCAAAGCCTGCGCTTGTGTGGGAAGGTGAAAGAAAGGCTTGATTGTGTATGTGTGAGCGACCACTCTGCTGGCAATGCAGAATCAAGGTGCCAAAGAGAGGATGGATAAATAGAGATGAAAAAACAGAGAAAGTAATAAATAACTTGTTTTCAGGCTTTTTTCTTTTATTACTGTCTCAAATTCCTCATCTTGTGTAAACAGCACAGGTCGTATGGATGTAGACTCTGTGCATCCAAATGTTTGTTTGGGGTGTTTTTCAATTCTTTACCTGCTGAGTACATGACTATCTGAAAAAAGAGAAACTGTTTAAGTGTTATTACAAACCAGAAAGGCTTCAAATTAGTTCTGTTTTTGTGCAGATCCTGCCCCTGTGTCACCCCAGGACAAATATTCATGTCAAGATATGGATTCAGAATTTGGAGAGTTGGAAGCAGAGCTGGACATTGAGAGCCTTTATTCTGCAGCAGCCTCCCCCACGAAAACATCAACCCCTCAGCACTGCTTCCTGCTTTATAGCCACACTGGGGTAAGTGATACATGGCAAACTGTTCTGGAAGGAGATGCTGAAAAATGGCACTTCTCTAATGAAGATGTCAAGGATCTTGTTATTCTTGTTGGGAGCTTTAGGAGTGATGTTGATTGAACTGTCCAGATTCTGCAATCATGACAACAAAAATTTAGACAGTCTGTCAGTGAAATTAATGTCTTTTGTCCATCCATCATCAATACCGTTTATCCTGAGAAGGATAAATCACTGATCTGGTCAGTGCCTAAAACCCAAAACCTTCTTGCTATGAGGCGACAGCACTAACAACTGGTCCACCATGCTGCCCCTAAAATTGTCTTATCATTATATATGTATTTTGAATTTTGATGAGTTGGAATTGTCTTCATTTGTCCTTTATTTATCAAAATAGACAATTTACTGTAACAATTTGATTATTTTGAATTATATACATATTTCTTTTTTACAGTTTTTCACCAACTTGTACTATACAACCAGCAGAGCACACTGCACTAACACCAACATGGCCTGTGTTGTATTTAACCATGTGTGTCTGAGTGCACACTGTTGCTGTGACTCTCAAGTAGCCACAATTAAGCGACCCACTGACAGGGAGTGGTCACCGAGAAGACAAATATGTGGAAGGAGTAATTGGCTGAGTATGTGCATGTGTGTGTGTGTGTGTGTGTGTGTGGCCTTATGTATATACTTGTGGGAAAAGAACACTGGGAGCACACTGCTTTGCAGGGACCAGAAGTGATTTGTGGGGACCAGAGGCTGGGCCCCACGAATAATTCATTGAATTTTACAAAAATGATGAGGTGTAGGGTTAGAGCAAGTGTCGGCTTTGGTTAAATGTTAGGTGTTAGGATTGAGGGAAGTCTCCAGGAAATGAAGTCTATGTATGGACCCTGTAAGTGATGACTGCAAGGATGTGTGTGTGTGTGTGTGTGGAGGAGGGGTACTGTGCATAGCTGACACTTAGCTGCCATCCTACTGTATTGTGTGTCCTGATACAAGGAGCAGACCGACAGTGCAGATGGTTAACTGGAGTGGAAGAGCCGGTGGTTTACAAGGACAAGCTATATGTATCTTAAAGACCCACAGTGGCACAGTCAACACTATTGATCTGTACACAGTCGAAAAAACAATTAAAATTAAACTTAGCATACAACAGCAAACCAACAAGAGGGCTAACTTCTAAAGCTTTTGTGTCCCTTTGTGGTTTGGTTGCAGTGCTGAGTTTTGTTGTAATTGGCTTGTTCTGATTCTGGACCAGCTTTTAGAAAGCTTTACTGAATAAATGAGAACACAAAATGTCAAAACACTGTAGTGCTGGGGGGCAAAGAGACACTTGGTGGGATCCTGCCGACTGATTGGCCACTGGGTGTGGGAGGTATTTAGTTCAGGTTGGCAGGGTTCTTAGCTAGAGTGTTCTGTGTTCTGCTGGAGTTGCTGTTGTTTCCCCCCACATTAAAATAAAGTGGCCTTCTGCTGACAAAAAAGATAAATCCTTGTCTCCAACTCTCCCTCACTAGCCATTGTTACAATGCTGTACAAGATAAAATAAGGACATTACATTTCTATTCTTTTTAAGAACTTAAAAGCATTTAAAAACACAGTTTTGTTTTGGGTGGCATGGTGGCTCAGTGGTTAGTGCTGTCGCCTGACAACAAGGAGGTTCCAGGTTTGAGGCCTGGCTGACCTAGAGCCTTTCTGTGTGGAGTTTGCATGTTCTCCCTGTGCCTGCGTGCAGCTTAGGTTGATTGGTGACTCTAAATTACCCCTGGGGGTGTATGGTTGTCTGTCTCTAAGTGTCAGCCCTATGAGAGGTGTACTCTGCTTCCCACCTGCTGTCAACTGGGATTATCTTCAGGATAAGCGGTATACGTAGATAATGGATGGATAGATAGTTTTGTTTTTTGAGTTTGCATCTGTGCACAGGCTAGCTTTTAAAGAGTGGAACATATAATTAATGAAGTGTTCATTTTTGTTTTTTCTAGCCAGTGCTAGAGTCTCCAGAGTGCCCTCCTCTATCGAACCATCATACAGGTCTTAGCCAAAGTAAGAACTCGTCCAATGACTCCTGGGATTTTGGTGGCTTTAGTGGAACTAAGATGTGGACTATTGATGTATGAAATGTTTCTTTTGTCATTGTGGATTTTTTGAGACAATTATGTTCCACAAAAACACAGCAAAGTGACATAGGTGTTTTGAATGCCATCTTTTTAAAGTGGCCAAATAGTGTCTGCATATAGACTGCCAGATCAATTTCTCCTTTAAAAGGAGGGCCATGGAGGAGGCGCGGCTGGAGGGGAGGGGTCCCACTCACATTTCAACCCTTAGATGAGAAACCTGCCTTCCTGTTTTTTTTTATTTTACCTCAGCCACAGCAGCATGTTGGAGACACTGAGAGGATAAAAGGTCCACTTAAGAGTGTTACAAGGAGGACTAAACATGTAGAGAATAGAGGTCGAAGACAGAAGAAGGGTGTAATTATATGTTTTTACCAAGTGAGGATAAATAAAGAAATAAACAAAGACAGGAATTATCTGATTCAGTCTTTAAATGTGACCTTGAAATGGGAGGAGAGAGGACCAACAGGCTCAGAAACAGGTAATGCTAATGTTTTTACTATGATGAGTTTCAGTTTGTTATTTATGAACACATGATTTATTGTACAGTATATTCTATGTGTTCTCCACACACTGAATGTAAGTTTTCTCTTACTAATGGGGTCATCAAGGCACATTCTAGTGTTACAATGAAGCTTTGAAATCTAGAAAGACCATATGTGCAGCCTGCCAACGGTCACAGATGACACAGGGACCTCAAAGTGACATTGCTTAGCCAGTAAACTGCCTGCTGTCATTGCTTGGACTGGTTGGTGGAACTCTGTGTGTCTGTGTCTGGGGCAGATAAGGGGATCCCCCTCAGTTTCCAAAACACCATGGAAACATTGCAAGACATCAAGCCAGCCAACCTGGATGCAGGGAGGGGAAGCAGGTGGGCTGGGTGAAATCTCTCTCACACACACACACACACATTCTCATTCACATGTTGCAAATTAGCTAAAAAGAAACAATGATTTACAAGCTGTTGGAAGTCAGCTGGTATTGACAATGCTAAAGGTGAACAAATCTGTTCATATGTAAGCACACAGCTGTGCACACACAGACACTCCATCCCCCGACACACAGTCACCTGTACAATCTGTATACTCTCCCTGGGCTATACCGTGGTCAACAACTGCCTCTTACTTTTACACTAACAGTAGAATAGTGTCCGCTCCAGCTAACGCTCAGATCTGTATGCAGGCGCTTGTCAGTGTGTCCAGAGGACAACCTATTCTACGCAAACAGGTTAGAAACACGAGGAGGGGGGCAAGGGCTTTGGTGAATCAACCCATTGTCTATTATGTTCAGCTCTCACCACCGAATCAAGTCCAAGTCCTCCAAAGAGAATAAAGGTCTTTGAGCAAGTCTCTAATTTCATAGCATCAGCTTCCAGAAATATAGAGATGTGAGGAAATGAAGGTTCTAGGGTCAGTTCAGCACAAGGAAATAAAACTCCAAACATTTGTAATTTTCTTATTTAATATAATTAATGAGCATTTCTAGCCTAAGCATTCTGTATGTATTCCTGCCCATGGCAAATATTAACCATATACTGTAACTCTTCTATGTTTTCCCTTCTTGTCCTCAGCAGAGGTTTGTCTCTGCCAAGTCTGAGCAACAGCAGCAGACGGTGGAACCAACTATATCCTGCTCCCCCATGTGACTTACTGAGTAACAGGACCCCCTGCCTGCCAGTACCCCCTGGACATAGGTACATACTGTAGCTGGGCTCATTAAGGGGAATTCATAGTTTCTGCATTCCCTTGAGCGTATGCAGACATAGATGAGGGGCTCGCACACGCTCCAATTAAACACTGGATGAATTAAAGAAGAAGAAATTTTTTTTTTTTTCAGTTTTTACCTATGGCCTATCCTGAGTCCTTAACATTGAGTGCTCCTCCTTAATTCTTCATCAAATAACATGACAACCCAGATGTCTGTGTTATCATGTCTGACATAGATTGTAAATCTCGGTGGGCCAGAATCAAGATTTCAGGCTTCAAAGTTTAGAGTTGGGTTACACTTTAACTTCCTCTGCACACATTTCCCTTTAGCAAGGCGGCCAGAGCCCACTCCTCCATCCCGTTGAATTGTGGTGGCTGAAGTGTCACACAAGTGATCAAGTCATAAGTGAAAGTAATTATTAATGGGGCAGTGAACATCTTACATAAAATATTTTAATGTCATGTTTGTGTAATCAGAAAACACAATACGTCTTTGACTTACGCACAAAATTCTTGTCTATTATGTTGTGATTTGGTGCTGTACAAATAAAACTGAATTGAACTGAAACTGAATTCTGATACTGGTCCCTCACAGACAGAGAACAAGAAGTGTGGCTGGCGAATCCCCATCCTCCCCTGGCCGGCTGTTGGTGGCTAAGCCCAGCCAGCTCAGCCGATCCGCCCCCAGCCTCATGGAACCTCTGCTGTGTTCCAACACACTGCTGAAGACCAGGGCACACATCCAGACCCGTACGTAAATGAACACCACAAATGCATAAAACTCCAAATTAAGATAGTCATAGTTTTAACAGCCTTAATTCCTTTGTTTAATTTATTTTATTTTTTAGCTTGCTGATGATAGTTGTGTGCATGTTTCTTTAATATTATATTTATGTCTGCAGGACTCGGTTCTCATGAAGCTGTAAATGAACAAAAGGTGATTTTCAACATAAAAACATTTTTCTGTTACTCAAATTCCTTTTCTTTGCATTCATATGTTTGCCTACCAGCTGTAACCACTGAACTACTGTCAAAATCCTTATTCTCTGCATTTTCACAGGGTCTCTTGCCAGCTCTGCATCCCCGAATGCCCAAGTTGTTGGCGCCACTGGACAGCAAGCCCAGAGACAGTGCAGCTCTGCCAGTGTTAAAGCACCATGTTCCCCTAAAACCCATCAGCCAGAGCCCCTTTTTCTCCAGGACCCAGCTGAGGAGAGAGAGGCTGTCATGGGGCAGCCCATGCACTGGCCATCCGACTACTAAAGGTGGTAGCGAGGAGAGCAGGTCCAGCAGCAGCCAGAGTTCAATTGACCTGGAAGATGACAATGAAGAAGATGAAAGGGATATACAGGAGAGAGCTTCAGAAAACAGCAATCTGAAATTTGTTGAAGACAGGCTATTTCAGCATTTGAAGGATATGAGCTCTACTGAGGCTGATTTGGTTAAGGAGACAAGGCTGCATTTTAAAGTTCAGTCAAGAAGCCACAGATCAGCGCATATCCTGAACGGAGAGCTTATCAATCATGCAAGTGATATTCTCAGCACTGAAAAAGCTACGAACTCTGACTACAGAGGCAAAGCCACAAATATGAATTATTCAAACGAGCTTGCTGATAATCATTCCCATATAAAATGTGACTATGCAAAACAAGATGACACTATGAATCATTTTAAAGACAACAAAATGCCTATCAAATCAGAGGAAAGGAAGGATGTGTGCTGCACTATAGAACCTTTCATTATGAGTAGCAATGGAAATATATTTAATATCAAAGATGTCCAAGGTGTTGATGCTGTTACATGGTCTGAATCAAATCACAGAAATAAACTTTACCATGCAAAAGAGACAATGAAGAACTCCTGTGATGAAGAAATCCAGGAATATAACCCAACCCTTCATAATGTGAAGGATGGAAAGTTAAATACCAGCACAGCTGTGGGGAAAACTGAACTCTTCACTTCAGCTGTAAACCTTCCACAGTCAGATGTGTCTTGGAAGAGTAACGAGAAGATGGTAAAAGCCTTCGAACCTGGCCAGGTCATGGAGGAAAGGACCAGCATGAACTGTGAACTTAGTTCACAGTTCATGCTAAAAAATAATCAAACCAACCAGTCCTTTAAGAAAAAATAATCAAACCAACCAGTCCTTTGACATGCTAGCACTCAAAGACAGAGGCTTCATAAGTTGGAGTAAGTCTAAAAGCAATCTGAAGTACTCCTCACTCTCCACACGAGTGAAGGATAAAACCAGGAAAAGCCCTGAGCTAATTATTAGCGGAGAGGCCAGTGTAACTAAAGTAAAATCAAAGCTTAAACCTGTTAAAGGTGCTCATTGTAACACTAGCACCCCATCACCACGAAAAAAGGTTACTGATCTTGCACAAGGCAAAAGAGCAAATACTGAGAAGCTGAACAGCAGAGCTCAACATACACCACTGAGAGAGCTGAAGAGCGCCCCGCAGTTGAAGAAACTTAGCGAAGCGGGGACACAGAGGTCTAAATCTTCTGTGGACTTCATAGCTTACAAGGACATGTTTCAACAGATACAGACTGGGAAAGAAGGACCAGCTATTTATGAGATGTTTGCTGGTCCTATCTATGATAACCTAAGGGCTTCCAGCACCAGTAAGAAGACAAACAGGCAAGTGCAGTCTGCTCCTCCTAGCAACGCACAGCAGTTTCATAAAGTCAAATACAGACCCTTGAAACAACCTCAGTATAAGCTGAGGAGAAGTCCAGTGGAGAGTGGAGCAGTTCCATCTAAAAACAAAGCTAGATTTGCATACCCTAGAGCAAAACGTCACCTCACACCTGTATCAAGGAAAGCCACTTATAAAAAGGGCAATATCCCTAAACTGGATGCCAAGTTAGTTCTCTCTAAGCATAGTGAGACTTGTCATAAAAGTGCTCAAGAAGAGACTGAAGATCACAAGTTACCTACCATACTGGAGGCTCTTACTGTATATGAGCGTGAAGCATTGAAATCTGATGATAAAACATTGACTAGACCAACAACTCCATCACATGCTGGAGATTATAGTCGCATTAATATACAAGAAACAACTGGGAATTCAACAGGAAACCTATACAGACCAGTTCCCGACCATGTGTTTGCTGAAAGCCCTCAACAGCCAAAGATTAGCACTTGGACAACTTCTAGCAGCAGCAACCGCACCATTATGTCACCAGTTTACCAGAGGTTTCTGGATGAGGTGGGAGATGGGCCGCTTACAGATGACCTCCTGCAATGTCTGGCTGAAGAGCTGATCTCCCTGGATGAGAAGGATGTTACCACAAGCCCATGTCCTGATAACATGGAGTGCAAAAGAGAAGTATCAAGAAAAAATGTATTTCCTAAGGTAAACCATTTGTAGCAGATCGTCCCCCTCTTCAATCATGTTCTTTTAAAATTCCACACATTTAGGGATGGTATGAACATTGTCAGTTGGGATAGTCTAGCTTTTTGTTGTTGTTTTGAGAGCAAAAATTCAAAATCATTCAAAAATGATTTTCTGTCATATGCTCATTGCTGACTCAGTTATTTTGCTAACTCTTTTGTGTACTTTATTGCAGGTTTCTTCAACTGACAGTGCTGATCTGCTTGACTGTGGCTTCGCTGTAGATGACACTATCACGTGGACAAAGGGTGAGGTACTTGGCAGAGGAGCATATGGGATAGTAAGTATGCTAATTTAGAAAAACAATGTAATGCTAATAACACCCTCAAGCATTAAAAAAATCTCAACAGGAAAATGTGATAAGAAAAATTTCAATGTATTGTGCCCTTATATCATCAGTGCTGCCGATGTTCAACGTGTTGGCCTGTCAACCATCAAGTTTTGTAAAGCTTAACAAAATGTCCAACCTCCTTATTGCTAATGAGGTGTTAGTTTACTTACAATTATTTACTATAAATTGAATTAATATACAAAATACAGCAACAAAATAGATGCTTAAAATCTCACTCTGGGTAACATTACTGGCTTTACCAGGTGTACTGTGGCTTGACCAGCCAGGGCCAGCTGGTAGCTGTGAAGCAGGTGAGCCTGGACACCTCTGACCCTGACACTGCAAAGGCGGAGTACAGTCGCCTGCAGGGGGAAGTGGAGCTGCTTAAAACCCTTAGACACACCAACATTGTGGGCTTCCTAGGGACCTCGCTTTATCAGCATGTGGTTTCCATATTTATGGAGTATATCCCTGGAGGATCCATTGCTAGCATCCTTCACAGGTTAGGTTGATTCAAAACAGTCTGACAACTTACCCGGAAGCATCTGTTGAAACATTGAACTTTAAGGGTGTAACAAAACAAAGCATGTTTAGTAAAAAGCTTTCAATATACATTTTCTCTTTACTGCCTTCAGGTTTGGTCCTCTGCCAGAGCGAGTCCTGGCTCTATACACTCATCAGATCTTGGAAGGGGTGGCTTATCTTCATCTGAACAAGGTGATTCATCGTGATTTGAAGGGAAATAATGTCATGCTGATCCCCACAGGCATCATCAAGCTCATAGACTTTGGCTGTGCACGACGTCTCAGCTGCCTGAACCACACTGCTAGCAACAGTGGAGACCTGCTTAAGTCTGTTCATGGCACACCTTACTGGATGGCACCAGAGGTAGATACGGAGTTAATGTGGACTCCTCCTCTGTGAAGATGACTGATGAATCTTAACTCATGTCATCTCGTCCACCTCTTAGGTTATCAGTGAGACAGGATATGGCAGGAAGTCAGATATATGGAGCGTAGGTTGCACAGTGTTTGAGATGGCCACAGGGAAACCACCACTAGCACACATGGACAAGATGGCTGCCTTGTTCTACATTGGGGCTCAAAAAGGGTCGATGCCGTCCTTACCAGATGGGTTCTCAAATGATGCCAAGGATTTTGTAAAAATCTGCTTGACAAGGTATCTGTTGATCTCCCTCATAAATTCAAAATAAATCCATCTTCCCTTTTGAACGTACAGCAAGCTCCTTTCATCAGCTCATTTACACTTTAAAACAGCTTTAAAAAAATGTACTTAGTAATAGTGTGCATGCTTCTGGGCTTTAAAAAAAAAAAGTACTTAGTAATAGTGTGCATGCTTCTGTATTTAGACATGTTTGGGAATACATTTCTAATTTGTTTTGTCTCCACTGCAGTGACCAGAGACTTCGACCATCTGCAGACCAGCTGCTTAAGCATTCCTTCATCTGCAAAAAGGAAGCTGCAATGAACTCCTGGGGAACGCAAAAAAAGAATTGCTGTAGTCACGCAGGGGGACTATGCTGTTAACAGGGAGTTACACTAAGAGCTGGGGGCACTACATTACAAATTCTATTAAGGACAAACTGTAGCCACTGTATTGTTGTTAGTTTAAAAGGAACTACACATGAGAAGCACTCGTCTACATTTCACACTGAGAACCACTAAATTGTGAATTGATTTTGGGTATTTTCTACATCTCATTAATGTGCCAGTCATAATTTTGTATTTATTCAATTTAACTCCATGTGTGGTACATTTAGGTTCTGATGGGTCCAATATTACAGCATTTTGTTTTTGTGAGTTACTGATGAAATCAGTGTAAAAGTGTGCTTAGAAGGCTAATAAGAACAATTTGTTACCATAAGCTACTGCATGCCTATTCAAAATCAAATCTATAAGCGATTTCAATGCTCCTGGTCTTTTAACATTGTTAGAATATGTGTATAATAAAACAGTAACCAGAATTTATACCGTTAGGGGAGTGGTACCTTTAAACTTTATTCATGCTTTTGAAATGAAGAGAAGAGTGGCTTTTGCTCCCTTGTCCACATCTGCTGTTGTTCTGTGTGCCCACTGTTCAACTGTAAAATCCTTTGTGTTGTACAAACAGTCCAGACTGAGACTTGGGCATTCTGTGCACTCTAAAAATACATGAGTAACCCAGTCAAGAACAGAGGAAGCTGGGTCATGTCAAGATTTTAGAACATAAAGTTTAATGTTTGAAACTGATGTAAAGATGTGACCGGACTGGCACACAACTGTAAAAGGAAATTCAACCAATCAGATGACAATGCCAGTGAACAGGACCTACTGTATCAAGCACGCCCACAGTGTAAATTCATCTAGTTTCCAACATATCCAGTGGGTCATCTTACATATAGACTATTAGTCACTATTCTTGATTAGAAAAGTGCCAACAAGTTTTTTTTTTATTTTTTTATTCTTCTTCTTAATGGTACCATTTCAATGGCTGATTGAATAATACATGTGCCTCCTTTATGGACTGATATCTAAAGGGCTACAGCTTCATGTTATGAAATTATGTTTGTACATCAAAATAAAAAGGATTATGTAAAAGATAATAGCACACTTCTACTGTCCTTTCTTTTTTCCTTTTTGAGGCTCACCCTTTGGCATCCAGCTTATGGTCTACTTAGGAGATCAAAGAAAATACATTTTTGGTACAAACTGCATCGCTCCGATGTAATAAGTTGGTGTCAGATGTGCCGGTGTCGCTGAGGATGCCAAATGATATTCCCTGTGACTGGAAAGCACAGGTTAAGCACCCTCTGTAGGAAGGCTGTCAGAAGCGCACGCCAGTGGAACACTCACCAGATGACGACCAATGGCAGGTCAACAAAATAAGTCTTTTATAGTTATTACAGTTATTTTGTTATACTTATAAGCAGCTCCAAACCTGAGTAGTCATGGTATAACTTTTCTTCTTTAAACATACAAAAACGTATGTACACTTATGTCTACTTCCTGTAAACAGCAAGAAAGCGCTCTTCTTTTAAATCCCCTTGATGATTGAAACATGCAAATCATACGCACAGTACTGAAGTATAAAAAGAAATTGAGACGAGAGTAACTGAGGAGATGAAACTTACACCTAAAAAAAAAAAATGCGTCCATTATAACCCTACACGGAATGCAGGCAAACATAACAACTCCAGTGGTGGAAATGTGATTCTATTAAACTTCTCATAAAAAAATAAAGGCAGAAAATGAAACAAGTGCACCTTTCATGCCTTTTATAATACTTGTAGTACTTTCTCACTTTCCCCCCCATATGGGGATATAAAATGTAGGACCCCCCCCAATGGAAACACACACACACACAACCCATTCCTGATGATATACACACGCACCCACCTTTGCACATTCTGAGACCCATTGGAAGAGGAAAGAGAACCAAGCAGCAACTTGACACATTAACAGAAAGACAACACCGAGCAACCCAGCCCAAAGACGTGACAGTCAGGAAGCATAAGTTTTCATCTTTCTTGTCTCTTAGACACTGTTAAGTCCGACACTACCTTTCATGTTTTTGCAGATACGTTTTTCTGCCTGTGAATAAAGGGTTTATAATCAGAGTTGTTTTCCTAGGGCACTTAACAAGGATGTGAGCAGAGTCTTCAAAGTCTCAACTTGTTGCCATTTCCACATGCTGGCCATGGCTGCAAAGTAATGGACTCAGTGTCTCTGCTCTCCCACTTCGTGTGGCGATTCACTAGGAGGAAGGAACTGCTGAGAGGTCCGCAGCCCACCTGGGTGTGACAGGAGGGGAAGAGGAGAAACAAGAATAATGAGGAGGAGGAGGAGGGAGGGAGGGAGGTTAGCCAAAGAGCTGTAAGCAAGATGCCACACACTGCATTACAGGAGAGGAGCAAAGAGGGGAAAGGGGGGAAGAAAAAGATGAAGTACCTGCAGCAGCACTGTCACCCTTGGAGATTTTATTCACTTTCAAGCAAGAAGTGGAGGATGAGGAGGGAGTGTGGTGGTTGTGACTGGTCTCAGGGTGCGTCCTCTTGCGCGACAAGGTTGAAGCCAAAGAAGTGGATCCAGGAGGAGCCAGAGTTGCCTCCTCCATGCTAACCAGTCCTGGAGGACCCCGTAGCTGGCTTACCCCACCACCTGGGCCCTCTGTGCCTCCTCGTCCATTGCCACTGTGCATGTGTGCGTGAGGGTGACTGTGCTTGTGGTGGCGATGGAGGTTGTGCTCCGCTCCACGATGCTGTTTCTCCTTGTTCACCAGGGGGCTGGAATGTTTGGTCTTGTTGTTATTGGCTTCGTCTGACGAGCTGTGACGCTCTGATGATGAAACTTTTATCTTCATCTTAAGCTCGTCTTTGCTGGACTGTCCACTTTTACCTGGCTGAGTGCTGCTGCCAGACCCAGGAACGGCCAGTCGGACTTTAAGCGGGTCTTTGTCCCGTTTGTCACTCTGATAATATCTGTCTTGCCCTGAAGTTGAGGAGGAAGAAAGTTTTGTTTTCATTGGGGAGACAGTGGAGCTGCCGCTGCCACCACCACCCTGGGGTGCCTGGAGGGGCTGTGAATGTTTTCTATTGTCTACTTGGCTCATAGACAATGCTGCATAGGTAGAAGAGGAGGAAGACGACATCCCTCCCCCCACATCGGAATCCATTACTCCTCCATGCTGCTCCTGCCTGCATTTCTGCACAGAGACAGTGAGCTCTGCAGCATGCTTCTCTCTGTATTTGTCCAGAGACAGTTTCTGAGCTGGAGAAGGTTGTGATGGAGGAGGCTGAACTGGGGGAGGGTAGGCAGACTGAGGTGGTGGCTGATGTTTGCCTCCACCTACACCAGATCCTTTTTGCTCTTGTTTAACTAAGTTGAGGTCTACTGTTTTCTCAGTCCTGCAAACAGGAGGATGCTGAAGCAAAGAGGAACTGGAAGTCTGCAAGGACAGTGTTGGCTCTTGGTGAGGGATGCTGAGGGGGTCCTGTTTTAAGCAGCTTGAAGTGTACCCTGCTTGACTCTGGTTGCCCTGGGGCCACTCACTGTGGCTAGGTGGATTGTATGTGCCAGACATAGTGTCCAGACAAAGGGGTGCACCTCCAGACTGGCCAGGCACGGGCACTGTGAAAGTGGCACCTGATTTGGAAAAACTTGGGTTGGAGACGGCGACTCCAGGAAGTGACACATCACCTTGGAGCATGGAAGGTCCAGCGAAAGAGTTGTCCATCAACTGGGTGCTCTCAGACTTGGGCTTTCTGGCCGCTTGTGTTGCCTAGAGGAAAGAAAGATACTGTTTGTGAGGCTGTGATGAATTTGGTTATGGTCAGCAGTAAAGGCACTGAAGAGGCTTTACCACTGGTAGTGGGACAAATAATTAATACAGAGCTCTTTGGTTACAATAACTTTGCCACCATGGGGCCATTGGTGAGCATTTGTTTGGGCTTGTCTTCCCAGTGTGTCCCACACAATTGGCACTAATCGAACCCTATCGGTGGCTTTTCGTCCAATATTATTTCTCTCATATAGGCACTGAATGTCCGTGCAAGTCATCTGTGTGGCTGTAGTCTGTGTGGTGTGTGCCACTTTTCTAACCCGGCTGGACCAGACAAAGGCGATGGGAGGCGGCGCAACAGTCGGCCTTTTTCTCTAATTCTTTCATGCCGGCTTGGTGCATTGACCTTAGAAATGAGAACTGGTTTAAAGGCAGCATGTCTAGGAGTCACATGTACTGCAGTGACAAAATTAATTTTAACCATAACACTACAATTTTCACTTGCAAACATGAGTGAAATGCTTGCACTGCGGAGCCCTGTAAAACGGCAGGATTTCTCTTCCAACTCTTAATCCTGCATGAATCGGTTTGTAACTTCCACCAATACTGCCATAGAGTTTTTTTGTCAAACTGGGGTCCAAGTTAATTTTTCCTATACAACAGACATTTAATTGTTTGGCATTCAGTGTTTTGCTAGTTTGAAAGATCACAAGTACACAATGACTTATCCTACCCTCCAGTTGCGGATCCTCTTTAACCGGCTGGGCGTCTTTTCCAGAATCTGCAGAAATTCATGGGTCAACTCTGCAAACACAAGACATGAATGCTGTCAAACAACCTCAAATTCTGCAGCTGAATGTATACGAGACAACTAGGGATGCACCGATACCATGAATACTTACATTTGAGTACTCGCCGATAACAAGTACATGTTTCTACTATAAAAAAAATTTGATTACCATTAAAGTGTAAGGACTTTAGAAACAGATTTGTATTTTATGAAATTTATTTTCTGATGGTGATTAAATAAAATAGTGCCCTATACAGCAGGAGGCTGTGCAAATTACCTGAAAACTTTTTGTAACAACAGCACTGTCACCATTCCTACTGGATAACACGTAACTGACTGAAAATCTGTAGCCTGCTACACAGCATATGATACATGTAATAGAGTGGATTTAAACCTTTTTAGAAGTGTGACCCTGTGTTAGGATGTAACGACTTCACAACCCTCTGACCAGAACGTCATAGTTTCAAAGTGCATATTACCACAGTCATACATTTAAATGTTTAATGTAATGAGGCTGCATGCTTATTTGTTAAACTGGCTACTGTCTGTGGCTTCATCCTGTTCTCGCAGCTGGACACACACCTGCTCTGCTGCAGAGGAGCTGCTGGTCTTTGCCTCCAAGTCCACAAAGATATAACCTGTTTTCATACACAGCTCATTTGCTGTTGCTGTTAACTACATAAAGTTTGTTTTCTTCCCATTCACAACAGTTCACTACAATCAACATAACGGGTACCGTGGTGGTTTTAGCAGAATGAACGGGAGCAGGCATTTTGATCGTGGGGAGAGTGAAGATGTCGCATTTCTGCAAGTTTGCTGTTGCATTTGGTTTCTTCAACAAGTGTATGTGATTAATTACTCTCTCCATTAGTTGGTTTTGTTGCACAGTATTGACGTCTATGTAAAATGCGACCTCGTGCCTGCATGTCTGTGTGAGACAGCTGAGCTTACAGTCGTCACTAAAAAAAAAAAAAAATCTTTGCTGAAATGTCTTCTCTATCACCGAACAACCAGCACAGCCAGTGGGAGGTTAGTGTAATGATGCTGTTAATTGGTACTGGTGGGCCAACCTTTACGAGTACAGTGCTAGAGGGTTGTACTGGACCCGATACTGGTATCAGTGCATCCTGGAAGACAGCTGTCTCTTCTCGCTTTTAAATACTTTAAATTAAGTGAATTCCATGAGCTTTCCCTTGGTAAACCTGCAAATAATGCACAACCACATGGAAAAGTATACTAAATATTGCAAGTTACATTTATTCAAACAATACAACAAGGCAAAATAAAATATGTATTTCATCTCACCATCAAGCAGCTCCAGAGTGACAGAGCTGTCCACATACTCCCACCAGTGTTTCCCATCAGTGGAAACTGGGATCTCCCAGTTGGACCACTTACATGCCAGGTGAATACACACACAGGCAATCACTGTAGGCTTGTACTGGAGGCAGAAGGTAGTGAGATGCAAACTGCATGTGATGTGTGTGTAAGAAAAAGATTTATGTGAAAGGATGTGAATGAGTTGGTTTGGGCCAGGTGTGGTCACAATTGGTCCAACATGTGGAAAGAGAGAGAGAAAGAGAGAGGAAAAAAACAGAACAGGGAGCAGACAGCTTTAATTTCCTGTTATTATTCTACAAGAGACAAGCTATAATTTGTGTGATAAATTTAACTCTGCTGATGATGTAACAGTTTCTCAGTCAAACTTGGACTAGGTTCACACTGCAGGTCTTAATGCTCAGATCAGATTTTTCGCCGAAATCCGATTTTTTTGCGCTGTTGTTCACACTGTCATTTAAATGCGACTGCCATTTGTCTCATGTGTGAACGGTATACGGCGCTGAAGTGACCCGCATGCGCAGAAGAGGACGTGACATCAGACGCAGCGTACTGTGTTTGCGGAAATAAAAATGGATGTGACTCGTGATAGCATGTGCGTAGCGATGTACCAGTTAATGTGCAATCGAAATAAAGAAATAATAATAAGAAGAATATCAAGAAGAAGGAGAGCACAAATATTGCTTATGGCCTTTTGTGGAGCAGTGGCTGCTACCTATGTCTGTCGCATTTCAATGACATAAAAATCGCATGAAATGCGACATGACTGTTCAGACTGAAGTCGCATTGCAAAACATCAGATATGTATCCGATTTAGGACCACATATGAAAGTGGCCTGGGCCGGATTTGGAAAAATCGGATTTGTGCTGTTCACACTGTCATAAGGAAATCGGATATGGGTCGCATTTGGGCAAAAAGATCGGATTTGAGTCACTTCAGCCTGCAGTGTGAACGTGGTCTTAGGTGACAATTCAAGTGACATTAACTTTATGATTCATGTAATTAAAGGGCACATCTCTTAGTGTGCTTTAAAGTAAAAACATTAAGAGGCAATGGTTCGTGTCTCAAAGAACATGGCTGGTTTAAATTTTTGGCCATCAATACAAAAAAAGAAGCAGGTAAGGGGGTAGCAAAGTCCAACTACTGTGAAACCGAGCCCTGAGGCCACACGAAGTGACAGCTCCCTCATGTCACAGTTAACTGACCAGGGGCTGCTCCTACAACACCCCCTGTATGGGTGTCTCTTTGGAACGTATTAAAAGTAATAAAGCAAGACAAAAGTACAATGTCTGGACTCTGGTCAGTCAGATAACAGGGGCCTTAAAATTAAAATGACCAAGATTTACAAGCAGTGGGCTGATGACTGCATTTCAAGCTTCCCCATCTCTCATTAATCTTTACATCAAAAATCTTTTCAGAAAGTACTGATGCGAGTCTTCATGACAAGATTAAAATATGTCCATCTGTGAGAATACGTTAATTTAACAAGAGCCTGTGCCTACAGGTTTCTCTGCCAATAAGTAACAAAAATTCCAACACCATCCACAGTCAGCATCCAGACATTGCCAAGTGATTTGTAGTTGAAGTCAGTGTTATTTATTTTAACACCTTTCCTCCACCGTGAACTTTAAACAAACCCTTTAAGGACCAAGATTTTCTGCTAAAAATCATTTTAAGGACAATTTATCCTCACCTTAGAATCAATCAAATGCCTTCGATCTATACACAAATGATTCAACTACTAGTTATATGTATAAGGTATTTTCCGGGTCCTTAATGGGTCACCATTAGATTTCATGTCTTTTACATGGACCACATGTATGAAAAAAATGTTAAACTAGAAAAATTGTGCATTTAAAGACAAGCAAATATTGCAAAAGTTGAAAATAGTAAAGTAGATAATGCATTTTGAATAAATGGATATGGAAAAAAAAATTAAAATTTACTTCGGGGTACTTACCGAAAGGACCTCTACGAGAAATGTTTACATCTGTGAAATCTTTAGCTGCTATTCAGGCTACCAAAGTCTTTCTCTTTTAGAATTATGCACTTTTTCGCAACCGAACAAACATGTGGGTTTCAAGCGCACCACTACACTTCACATCTTGCATTCAACCCATCTGTGCCAACACATGGTCCCTTGTACAATACACCGCACTGCGGCTGGGGTCGGTAACGCTACAGCCACCCTGTCCCACTTCCTTCAAACAAGGGAGGGGAGCTGAGGGAAGGAAGGAAGCATCCCAACAACCACCAGCGCAATTAGGGCCCGTTGGACACTGAAAGGGTACCCTGCATTACAGGAAGCTATGGTGTGCAGTCAAAGTGCAATAAAGGAGGGGCAGGATAACAACCTGTTGGTAGCCATGAAATAGGAAGTCTGTGCCAAATCCTTGCTTGCTGTAAGAGACAATGAGAAAAAAAAGGAAGACAAGAAAAGAACAAATTACCATTTCTGCAAGCCAAAAGCATTTTATCATCATTAGGACAGGAACTGAACCATTTAGCTTCTTTAGATCATTTTCAATGCACTGATAAAGCAAAGACTGAGATTAAAAACAGTACTCAGCAGAAAAGTGGTGCTACATTTTGAAGGCTTTCAGTAAACTGTATGATTTTTCTAAATTAAGCCTGCAAGCTAATTTATTTTACACTGGATTTTCTATATGTATATTCCTCTTAACTTCATCACTAAGCCAAGCAAACTTGTAAATGACAGCATTATAGTCAGAAATATAAGATGTTGACATGCCACAATAAGAAAGCACAGGTAACAGTAACAACATTCATAAAGGCTGAATTCCATTTAGCTGTTTCAGTTTCAAGGGCATGTTTGATAACTGTCGCAGTCATGGCTACTTGGGACACTTAAACAGAAGAGAGTCAGTATTAATGTTATAAGCAACACCTGTACTTTGTGGAAACTAAGGAAATGATGATGATGGTGGACTACACCAAATAAAACAATGTACTACAGGGCTCCAGACTGCGAGTGACCAGTCGCGTTTTCTGACCCAATTTAAGTTTAAACTTTTTTCAAAGGTCACACAGAGTGTGACTGAAAAATAAACACCCTATGCACAAACGATGCTCTCACTGTAGAAATGGTGGACAGACATGTCTGTGATACTGTCATCCCAACCTTTATCTCCAGGTCTGTCACTCGCCCATCTCACGAGGCAGAGACTTCCAGTCTTTCAAATGTGTCGATCCACACTGACTCAGACTTACATGTCATCCCCGGACCCCTTTATTATGTTTTGAGTTGTTCCTTAGGTACATTTGAAGTGTAATCGCCACAGACAGCTGCTTAAATCAGGCAGATTACCTGCTAGCCTGTTTACATATTGGAAATGTTTTATTTGAATATGTTCTGATGGATCAGGCTCCTGGTGTCTTTAAGTTTTCTGGTTTTACTTTTCCCAAGAGGGGAAATTAATAAAATAAATACATCAGAACTGGTTAAGAAGCATTATGTATGTCTTTCTGCTGACAGACAGTTCTTACGAGAGATGCTGCATAGAGGATGGAGTCAGTGTGGACTGAACGGAAAGTCGTGCATATGCACCGCTCACGGCCAAGTGAAGTCCCAATTACAGGTTAGTAGTGGCTGAAACTCACCACCAATCCTTGTAGGCTACTAGTAACTTTGTCTCAGAAATGAGCTGGCACTTCACTCATAAGCTAAACTGAGCATGAAGTCCAACACAGACATCGCCAAAGAGGAGAAATTCTTCTTCAGAAGAAAAACGAGCTACAAATATATCACGTACACAAACGGCAAAGCATGCGTTAATTTATTTATATACTTCAATTTAAATATAATAGCCTAATCTTCATCTTCATGCTGACTGCTAAGCCATAAAGCACTACAGTGACGACATAAAAAAAAAGAGCTGGAAACTTGTTCCAGCAGTGATTTTCCCATTTGCAGTGTTCCATAAGTTTCCTCTCTCTCTGAATTTCATTAGAAATACAGGCTATGCACATTGAATGATAAGGTTATTTAAAATCATTTATGAAAAATACAGATTCTTTAGCATTATGTGGTAAAGGAGAGATGGTGCCACCAAATCTGGTGCTGGTACCACCACCTGAGAGACTTGGTGGCATCAGTGCCACCAGTTTGAAATGTTAGTCTGGAGCCCTGTACTATCATTATTTATTCTCTTGAAAGTTCTACTAACCTTATAGTGGAATCAAAAAATATATTTACATGGCTAAAAATGACACCCTCAGATAACTCTTTTCCCCAGCTCTAGTTCTGTGATCACACAGGATATGCAAAGCAGATGCCATGTAGAACCACTGATTTGACCATGTGAACCCTAACTCCCTATTTACGGGTGTCGGTATCTCAGATAAAAATAAAATGGTAATTCCCCTCAAATTATTACATATCAGTTTTGGACTTGGACCAATAAGTGTCTGTAAATGTTGTCATTCATGTGCTGTCCCAAAAATAAACTCAAATGGTCATCAAAAGAACAAGGTGCGTTGCCATGTAACTATTAAAGCAGCAACGTTTTCACCCCCCTCCCCAACCTTATCATGAGGTGGGACAAACAAGCGCAGAGGGCACAAAGAGCAAAGAAGGAAGCCTCTACCTCGCACTAGCTGGGAACATTTCACCACATCAGTGTGTGGGTGCTCAATAGTAATTTCAAAGCCTGGAACAAAATACATGACAGGTGAGTTTAACACACACACAGTTGGGAGGTGACATGTCATTTTATGACTAAACAAACAAATCTAGTGCTCATTTTGAAGGCTGTCAGCTCGGAGTCACATGGGTGTCTGTATTTTAAATGTTAATAATGGAACTTGATAGTCAGTTCAGTCATGTACATTATAAATTGTTGGTTGATATGTCAGTAATATGATGAACAAGTGAACACATTGTTTAGTGTTCCACAGCAGTAAGATGAAAATAAAAGTAGTGAAAAAAATCCCATGAACAGTCTCCTGAAGCCTCATCAATACATACTTTATGACTAATGCTAGCAATGAACAAATGACATGTCACCTTTACAATACTTTATTGAAAATATATATTTCACAAGATACCCATACAGAAACTGATAAAACATGTCACTAATCAGGCTGTGATGAATAAATTCATCAGTGACTATTAGCACTCCTCCCTTACTGATAATGATAAACCAGTGATAATGATTGTGATAAACAAACCTCTCTCTCTCAAACCACCCATTCAACACTACTTACCCAGGGTTTGCAGCACTATGGATTCAAGTATCACCAGCTCTTGAGCTTGCTGGAGGTATGCCTGAAGTTTGATAGACAGTCATTACAACACAATTGTAATGAGTCTATTAATCTATCCCCCTAACAACGCATTTCAAATGGCCAGAACTCCAAAAAGAGAGGCTCATTGTGCTATTAATCCAAGTTTTTTTTGGGTGTGTTTGTTACACACCAATGACAGGCTCTTTGTACAAGGCAAGACAATGTGGCACAGCCAGTTATACTGTACACAGGGAAACCATGACCACTGAGAGAACTGGAAAGGCAGATGTAGAGATGGGAAAATGCTTTCAACCATACAATATGGAGAGTTTCCTGAACTTACATTGCTTTTTGTGTCTTGAGGTGATTCTTGGGGATTTAGACAAGCATGGGCAACTTTGATCACATGTTCGAGTTTCCGAGGTTGCTCTTCCACTTTTGCAGCCAAGAATAAAGTGGTAGGAGATATTATCTGTGTAAATGCATTAAGACATTTAAATAAATACCCCAAATACCTAAAGAACAGTTTGTTAAAGTCAGAGGTTAATAGCAATACTGTGTCACAAAATACTTACATTTCTATGGAATCTGGTGAAAGAGTGGTGCATATAAAATCTATGCATGTAAACAATTGCTGTATTTATTGTTAATTGAGAGCTGGTGAATTGGTCAAGGAAAATGCTCAGATGGAGTGTAAATCGCGCTGCCAGGTTTTAAAAAAAAGAACTATACAACTCTATGGCTCTTATATCAGCACAATGCACAAATTACTGGGCGAACTATTGGTACAAAACGTCAAAATGACGTTGAAAGCCAGCGTGAAGTGAGTTGATGAGCCTGTACACTGCACAAAATGTGGGTTGGTGTTAGCTTTAACAAAAAATGTACGCGGTCTAAGTAGTATAACGCAATGTAATATAGTAACTATGTTATACTGGATGGAGAAAACAGGGTTATCTTTCCTTCCTTTTTCGTGGGCCAATAGCTAGCAATAGCTAGCAACAGCTACGGACTCTGAAGGCCAGTCAACCCTCAGCTAGCTAGTTAGCATGCTATATTAGCACAGAGCTAAGCGCAAGATAATGACGTTGAGGTTCCATGACAGTTTTAAATATTTTAACCAGGTTCCATATGACAGTTTTAAATATTTTAACCAGATGACAATGTATACAAATCAAGACGTCTCGAAGCTCCCTCTGCCTCAGCAGGTAACGTTAACGGTAAGGGGCCCGCTCTGACGGTTAGCGCCATGTCTACTTCCAGCCTGGTCGAGGTTTAAGTCAGTTTACAAAGGATACACGTTCAGTCTCTGACCCATATCTTGGATCAGATTAGCCGCTTGCTGTCGGTAGGAGAGCTCCCGGTCCGGCTCTACGCCACATCGGCGAGACGGCGTGTTATCGAGTTGCTCCCGGGTGAAAAAACATTTCGACGAAGATGCCCGGGACGCCGCCATTGCACTCCTACGTTCACTATCGACAAAGCAGACGTGACGTTGTGTCGCACAGGAAATTACAGCTTCTTCGTTGGTGACCGCGTATTACGACCTTCCTGGTTAAATCTACAGTGTAAATGTTTTTTTTTTGATGTATAGTGAGTGTTTTATTCATTTAATCCCTTTTGAACAACATTACGTTAAATTTGTGTCAGTGTTTTTTTTTTAGGAATGAATTTGCATAGTCCATTAACAAATAATAATTAATGAATGACTACATTAGAAATCACGCAACTTAAATAACAGCGTAGCATAATATCATTATGTATATTTAGTAAGCTGGCATGGTAAATAAATAAACTTGCTGTTAGCAACACTGCTGGGTTTTTATTAATTTTTTTCTGAACAAAGTTTTTAATCAGATACATGATTTATATTGTTTTTCATGAGACAAGAATGACAGCTGTAGCTATTGGCTGGGTCATTTATTCAGAAAGGAGCAATCCTTGCATAACATCTTTTCTGAAGTAGAGCATACAATGCACACGTTCTACTTCATGTGTATAATATGCTTCATTGCTTCAGGAGAGAGATCAAAATAACAGAATAGAATGGTTGGAATAATATTTATCAAGGCAACTAGAGCAACCCTGGATTTAGGATTAACTGCAAATGTGTCACTAAAAACACTAAGTGGTAAAGATTCTCTGTTACACTTTCCGTTCATTAACAATTAGTATCCTCTTGTTGGCATTGTCTAAGATTAAACAGTGGGTTATTACAGTATAGCCTTACTGTAAAGGAAGAACAAAAAGGCTGCATCTCCACAGAATATCTATAGGCCAGTGACTGGCACTTGGCTTTTGGCAAAACAAAAAATGATCTATTAGTACAAAATAAAGTTTGTACAAACAATTTTTGTAAATTATATGAGAACTGCACATTAACAATACCTTCCTCTGTCTTCCATTCTCAATATTGGATTCAAACAAAAATATTACAGTTTTGAACCATCAAATATTGGAATACAGTCTTTGCAATGAATGCATCAGTGATTTTCATATTACTCAAATTGCTCACGTTTCAGGCCCAAAAACTCCAGCGCATTTCCAGCAAGCAATTTATCCTGCAATACAAAGAAATACACAACTTATTGAATACCAGAGTGATCATATAATACTTAGATTTTAAAAGATTTTACAACTCATTCATGGATTCATTTACACAATTTAGTTTTGAACAAGGGCAATATTAAAGGCATTTCTCTACAGAATCTTTGGGATGGCTTCTAACATTCTATCAGGTATTTTCTTCCTGGTTTGTGTTATAGTGTCCATTCATAACAGCATCTGAATTTGCCTAAAGAAGGGAAAATCGTGTTACCTTTAGAGTGCCATCAAATTCATCCACTGACTCAATCAGTGATCCAGGCTGCAGCTCCCCGAGTGGGAATGGATAATCTGTTCCCAACATAACTTTATCCTGAAAGAGCAAGACATACAGTACATGTGAAAACTACTGTAGTGTTGAGCACATTAACAGTATTGTGATCAAAGTGACAAAAGCAGGAATAGTTATTGTCATCAGTAGAACATCCCAAAGACTCACAATCCCTAAAAGCTACTTTAATGAGCTTGAGTGTGCAGATTTTGTGGTTAAAAGTGGTTTTGCAATAATCACTGCCATTGTGTTCAAACTATCCACACGCTTTCCAAAGTCACGATACTCCCTCAGTATCTTTTTAGTGTATGAGCCCTCTCTGAACACCAATAGGACACAGAGTAAATGAAATCAATGGCGAATACAAGCTCACTTTTCCAATAACATCAATGAGCAGCTTCAGGGAAATGGGATCATGAACTAGGGAGTCTGTGTAGAAAGCACCAAGGTATTTCCGTGGACTGATGTTGTTGTCGACTGCACACAGGTCAGGACGGACTGTGTGGCCATGTTCAATTCTACCAATGGTGAATGGGAAAGAGCCACCTATAAGAAGATGAATGGGAAACATTTAAGGGCCAACAACAGGCAGAGGCTGATGACACCTTAAACTAAGTATGAAGTAAGACTTTGAAGTTGACACCTTACTACATGTAAAATGCATAAGCAACATCCGTTCTCTTCAGTACCTCCATGAGCGAAGCAGACTTTCAGTTTAGGAAATCTCTCGAAGACACCTCCAAATATCATCGAGCAAATAGCCATGGTTGTCTCTTGTGGCATGCCTTTTTGATAGAGAAGGCAACAAAGCAGAAAACCCCTTTTCATAATCTGATTAAATGTATTGCTACTGTCATACAGCGTGAGTGGGTAAATATACAAAGTGGCAGAAGCGTTAAAACACAAATGAGCATTATTGGTCACATTTGGTCATAATCACAATTCAATAGCTATGATGTTACAGCAAACTACACATACAAAATCACTATTAAACACATGAGGATGTACAATAATTTGGTTCTGTTGGGTTCAATCAATCATTTCAGGAAATAGTGGGTATAATGATAGCTATGCATTTGTGCTGTTTTTTAAAGTTTAATTTTTTTTTTTATGTTTATACATTGGTAACTAAACTTGGATCAGTTTCAGTCATTTCAGACAAAGAGGTTGTATTTTCACAAAAAGAAGTGTTTTTATTTTCTGTTGACTAAACCAGGAGGGATAATTAATATCTCCTGTTCCTGGTCCATCTCCCTCACCCACCAACCAGGGCAGCCAATACTTAGCCATCCTCCCATCTGTCTGCATATCCCATGGGTGGACAAATATGGAGCAGCCTAGCTCCTCTGCTGCCTGCATGGAAGACATACTGCAAGATCAGTATTCCTTGGCAAACTTGACCTATGGATACACTGGAATGTCACGTCGTCATTAGTCTAACCAGAGAATTGTAAACACAGGCACATTTACAACTATTATCACCAGTAACATTCTTACACTAAACTGTAATCACATACTGTAGCATGCAATATCTCACAGCATAGAAGGGATGGAGTTCAGAGGCATTGAGGTCCCAGGTGTTGATATGTGAGCCAATCTGCACCCCAGGGAAGCCCAGCTCCTTCACACAGCGCCTCATCTCCATGATGGCCAAGTCAGGGGCTTGCATTGGCAGTGTTCCCAGGCCCACAAACCTCGTGGGGTGGCAACGCACTGTCTGGGCCAAATTGTCATTTAAAAGGACACATAGATCCAGTGTGTCATGCGGCTTGGCCTGTAATCCAAAAATAAATTTTAAGTAGGTAAATATATCTGGGAAGGCTGAAATGCATTTTTATCATGCATTATTTATCTTAGTGTTTATGCTTCTGTGAACAAAGAAGAACAAAAACTGTTAAGCAGCTTATTTTGCTCCTTTTTTACCAGGAGTGGGTGACTGCAGCTCATAACATCTGACATGGACAATCTCCTGTTGTGTGCTACATCTGTGAAAGGGCATGTATGGACCATGTCCACATGTGAGAAACAGCTTTAGTGTGAGCTTACCCAGTAAGAGAACATCACAGGAACAGTGGAAAGGGCTTGAACCGTCACCCCTGAAGGTTGTGAACAGAAACATTGTTTTAAGGTGTTAATGAGATGAAATGCTGTAATACTTGTTTTTATCTTTCACGTCTGTGGATGTACCATGTAGATCCATGTCTCGTATGCGTGCCTTTGCATCCCAGCAGTTTTCTTGAATCACTCGGAAGAGTGTTCCGTCCTTCATCATCATTGCTTCACCCTAGAACATCACATTTACACCAGGCACATCCACAACTGATGTGACTAAACTTAAGATGTTCACCGGGCCATCACTGTAGTGCATGGACACCGTGTCAGATTTACTGGTTACTGTATTTCACTCATTTTCAAGTAGCTCAACCACAAGAGATCATGTGATTTTTGGATTTTATAACATTTTAAAATACAACCACATGATGGCAGCAGGCAACTGATTCATGGTTCACATATGAAATATAAAATGTCATTTGCACCATTAAAATTTGATGATAGACAAAATAAAATATCTTTCATCATATTTTCAAGTGTAGACCTAAATACATAATAATCTCTGGCTAGTTTTTCACCTAACAATGGCTGTAAGTAAAATTATCTTGTCTAGGGTGACTATAATCTTGTGGCTTAGAGTACTAGCTGTTTTAACACTGGTATCATGACACTAACAGCTGTTCATCACATGATACCAGTGTTAGAGTACTAGATGTTTTAACACTGGTATCATGACACTAACAGCTGTTCATCACCACTTATGCTTGTATGCAACAGTGTGGCACACTGAACTATTTATCTAAAACAATGTCTACCACAAAAGTTGCACTTTGCTACATAGCTGCCGGGCTGCTCTATATTGCTGCTGTGTTGGAATTGATTCCTTCTGCTGATGCAGTGGCACTGTGCTGAGTTATGCAGCTGTACACACAGATGGGACCAGCCTGATAGGTCCGCAAGGTGGGGTGTGGCTGGGAAGAACCTGCTGTGTGCCCAACATAGTTTGCAGTACAATTGCATATGTGCCCCTGGACTTATGCCCTGTCTGTACGTGTGTAGCATAGTGACTCACTTTGCAGTGATGGTGAAGCTGGACAAACCCACCATATCCATACCTCTGTAACACATGCAAGCACATAATAAAGAACTGTGCAGTCTTTAATATCACATACTTAAAAATATATATTGCATATTAGATTACCTTGGCTGGTGTTTGAACATGGGTCAGTATTCCCCACAGACCCTATTGAAAAGCCAATATTGATTGTGGTATCCCATCTGTGAGGGATTAATCTTGTTCCTAGAGGACTATCCACTCCAGCCCCCTGGATAACTCAGAGTGCATGCCATCTGAGGCTGTTGACTCTTGCATACAAATGAAGCTGCAAATGATCTATGTGAGCAACAAAGCCAGTAATGGCCCCATTTCATATTGCTGCAGATCAGCAGAAATGTGTACTTGGTTGATGCCACAAAGAAGCTTCAACTTTTCAAAAAAGAAAAGGCAACACATGTTTTACACCCTTTAAGATCCAATGGGATGATATTTGTGTCATGCAGTCTAGCTATTTCAATAAAAGCCTGCTTTAAATTAAATTAGCTCACCTGTGGAACTGATAACAACAGGGGACTTGATTTACTGTTACCCCAGACCTGGGGTCTATCAGTGCCTTTTTTTACTATACTGTGTAATCATCTTGATACCTTGTAACTTTTTCTAATGTTATGAGGACTGCTTAATGGAGTCATTTTGAATTAGTTGAATGTTTCAGGAGACAGAAAATTATATATTATTTCTGTTAAGTGGATTATAGTAGATTTTCATTTGTTACCTGCGATTGATGTTGAGGCTACTCTTTAAGAGCACTAAATCACACTGACACAAGCTTCTTGTGCCTGTCTCCTGACCCAACTAGCTCTAAAATGTGAGAAATCATTAGCTAAGGCAAAGCCCAACAGTGACATAGACATAAGGGCAGGCACAGACAGAACGAGGCCAGTGCCACCTATTGATTAAAGTTTAACCAGCCATAAAGGACAGACTTATGGGTTGTTTAACTCCTTTCTGACAGTCCAAATGGAAAACACTGTACTTACTTACTGTATTTGTTTTACTGGTATTTAATAAAACTGAAATTAAGGAGGGCTTGGTCTGCCACACAAGTGATATAGACATATCTGTGTTATGTAAACCCACTGAGTAAATAACATCTAGCCTACAGACTGTTACAAAAACATCGCCGATCTTTCATGAGTTCAAATCTGGCAGTGCCTACCTGCTTCAAATCGGGCCATTCCTTAGGTAAAATATGGTTATGAATATCAATCTTCATCCTTATGATTATTTTCGCAAAAACTTTAACATCTGCTGCAGGTGTTTCTTACAATAAATGAGCTCAAAACCCACATTCAACGCCGCCCTCAGCCAGAAATCAATGACGTACAGGTGAATGCCTGCTGGGACCGCCTCGTCAGTTATTATCTAATCTATAAAACAATTCGATTATTCATTAGTCTGTTTAAAGCCGTTATGAGTTGATATTCTGAACTATGAAGGTATCGAACGACATTATTTACACCCTATTAAAGCAGGGATTGTGTGCTTGTTTGTATTTTCAACATGGGCTGACGCACGGCATGTGGAGTAAGTGGCTGATGTTTTACTGAACTGACTCTTCCATTTCTGTTCTGACTCTCAGCCATGACTTTCTGCGCCACCTGGTGGTTTATCCGTGTAGCCGAATGATGGACTCATTAAGACTCAAGACAGCTGGCAGGCAGGTATTTTAATTTAAGGTAAAGATGAGAAAATACTTCATTTCTCTGAATTTGATAGCCACTCATCAACGAGGCTTGTTAGGTCTACTGTATATAGATCTATAAACAACAGACAGCTAAATCTACTCGTGACATTATATCATCAACAGGAACAATATGACTTCACTTTAATAGTTGCTTGATATATATTTATATATAGGCTCCATTCAAGTTTTGTCTCATTCATAGGCTAAACGAGTTTAAAATGAACTTTAAAATGCGTAATTCAAGACAGATAGCAGTCATGTAGTGGCCTGTAAGGAAATGAGGCGTTGAGCTCTGAGAGGAGGAGAGAAGGAGAAAAGGGAGGAGGGGGGGAAACTTGCTGGCAACGCCTGCCAGATTCACAGCAGCTCTGCGCGATTTATCGCATCTTCGCATCTAACACTAAGTGGCTCATCCAGACAATTTACATTTACAGTCAACCTGCAGAACTGCTCCTCCAAGTGCGGAGTTCATGCATAAAGAGTTTTCACTGCTGATGCTGGGGAGATAAAACCTTTATCTCCCATCTTCTCTTATCGCCATCTCATATTTTCCTCCCCCGCGCAACTGAGTCAACACCGGTGGCATATTGGACGCGCTGGATGGCTGCTGCAGTTAACGAACCGGTGTGAATCCTTTTGTTCAATCTTCATCTTCCTCTGCCTTTGAGCCTGAAAACAAAACAACTAGTGCAGCAATAATGACAGACCCGGCGACCCAAGACCCTGTCCCAGAGCTGACTATTGTGGATCCCTGCCCAGTCACGGTGCGGAACGGCCAATGCGCCCCGGATGGCTTCACTAACCACCATCACCAGCAAGCCAAGAGCCCCAGCCAGCCCGAGGGGCTCACCACGGGCCAGGAGATGAAAATCACAGACGGTGTGGAGGGAGAAGGTAGGTAACTTCACCTGTCTCTGTCATCTTTGGATGTGGTTTTTAAAAGTTATGGATGTGCGTGAATATGTGCATGCGTGTGCGCGCGTACGTTGAAGGGACCGCCGGGAGATGGAAGGGGTATTTTTTTTAACCCTGTGAGGTATTTTTAGGCCGCTTTTATTTGAATCATTTATGCAGAGTCCTACATCAGCAAGATTCAAAGCTTAAAGTCCTTGTATTCCCCCAAAGTCATTCATTCATCTGTTAATTCATTCATTACTTATTTCCTTTTCCATTTGAGACATTATAGTGTCTCAGGGAACAAATCTTCCTGTGGAAATCCAATTAATGTTCATTTTGTGGAGCAGAGATTTTCTGACCAACAGACCACAGAGAGTGGAGTTGTCAGGTGTCAGACACAGGTGCACCACAAGGTGCCATTTTATCCTCTTTGCTGCTTCGAAGATCCACAGTTTAATTTGTCAAAGTATGCTGATAATACAGCTTAGGTTGGCCTCCTGGTTGTGTGTGTGTGTGTGTGGGGGGGGGACGACTTCTGTGCAACAGTGGTGTGAGGAAAGTGGTATTTCCTATCCTTCCTTAAAACACACACCCAGAGATGCATAGACTCAATTTGCTTTAAAGCTGAATTCTGATACTAGTCACAAGTCCTTAAACATGCATTTGCTTAAGGGTGTGTGTGATGTTTGTGCTAATATAATCCCTTTCATCTATGTATAAGACCAGTGAAACATTCCACAGTGGATAATAAGAGGCCTCAGTTAGATCATAAATCCTGAGTTGGTCGTTGTTAGTTTATAAGGCCACTTAGTAGGTTTATTAAATTGGTTAGGAAAAGCCTGTGAGATTATTTTTAAAGAGTAATTAATGTATGTTGTTCAGACCACAATCATCCCAGAAGTATTATATTCAGTCATGTGTTTCCTTTTGCAAATCTGTAAGTGGTGTGGGTAATCAGCACTTTGAGCTACATAGCTGCCTGGTGGTAATTATCTTTAGAAAAGAAAGGTGTGACAGAGACAAGTGTCAAAAGAGAGACTCACACCCACCCACACAAACAGTGTGTGTGTGTGTGTTCCACAGAGAGTATTGGGGATGTGGAGCACATGCTGCCTGCCTGATACCCCAGCCAGTGATCATGTGAGCAAAGTGATTTAACTGTGCTGTCTCACTTCCCCCCTTCTACCACACACACACAGTTATATGCCAACAAGCTGGTTTGCCAGTTTTATGAGGTAAGACAGCTGTCATTAATATGTGTGCATGTTAGTCTATGGCTGTGCATAAAGAAGCTGTATTTATTGTCACTGTAACATTGTGACATGTACAACGAAATTATGTTTGGAGCCAAGGGCCCCGGGCTGCTGCATGCATATGTACCGCCATCACGGGCATCAGTGTCACTATGCTACACACGTACAGACAGGGCATAAGTCCAGGGGCACATATGCCTAAGGACACTTCGACATGTGGACTGCAGACACTGAGATTCGAACCTTCAAGTTGGGAGACGACTGCTCTACCCACTACACTGTCACCTCCCCAATAAATTAATTGATAAGAGAGATTATGTTGATCTGAAAAAAATGAAGGGAGCAAGGAGGAGCTGATGGTCATTGTGGAAGTGTGTTGTACTTTGTCTATAATGGCTAACTTGAACCCCACTGTCCCACTGCAATGACATCTTATCAGCACTGAAGCTCTTTCATTTGTTCATCTGTGCCAGTTAGAACACAGACAGTCTACTCCGAAGTGAGAATATTCAAGTATCTTGATTATGGTTATGATTACAGAATTGTGCCCAGAACCTGTTGTTTGTAGCTTAAATGTCTTGTTTTACCCTTCAATAGCTCCCATTATCTGCCTGTTTTTGTAACCAAGCAAGCAATCTAGGAGGAATAATCTCCTCTGTATCAGTTCACAGGTGAAAATTCTGGATAGAATGAGACCTAATAATATTAAAAGCTCATTTGCACATAAAAGTTCAGAATTATAAATAATGCATGAATCTGCAGAGCCATCCTCATGTTTTATGACAATGGAACAGCTTCAGGCGGTTCTGAATTGGGGCTGTTTACCCTATGACTTCTGGCAAAGACTTCACACAGAGTAACAGGGAAATGTATGTGGATCGTATTTGTCTCTGCTTAGTCTCATAGAAGTTAGAAGTGAATTATATCTGTTGGTTTACAAAGGCAGACTTGATGGCCCTCACAAACAGTTGTAACAGATGTTTTTTGTTGTATTATTTTGTACTTGATTGGTGAATTAGGAAAGTTACATTTGAGATGGTCTGTAATCTGCAGAATAACAGGGGTTCCCAGGCATCATACAATGGTTTGTGTCCCTGACTATAAATCCCCAGTGGCCCCGTGTTCTGCTGGAAAGTAATAAGTATTATCTTACAGGAAGGAGTGTGGGAGAAACAGTTACAGTACATTAATGTTCAAAGCAGTAATATTACTCACCAAGTAATAGCCATAGCCATGGTAATGTTCTTTTTCGGTCAGTTGGGTACAAAACTTGCACCTTCAGCCTTTTCCCAATGAACTAAGTACTGATTATTCAAGAATGAATAGATTCTTATTCCCAATTTAATCTTGTAAAATCTCAAATCACCTCTTATGTTCCTCAGGTGGAACATTATATACAGTGGGTACGGAAAGTATTCAGACCCCCTTAAATTTTTCACTCTTTGTTATATTGCAGCCATATGCTAAAATCATTTAAGTTCATTTTTTTCCTCATTAATGTACACACAGCACCCCATATTGACAGAAAAACACAGAATTTTTGACATTTTTGCAGATTTATTAAAAAAGAAAAACTGAAATATCACATGGTCATAAGTATTCAGACCCTTTGCTGTGACACTCATATATTTAACTTAGGCGCTGTCCATTTCTTCTGATCATCCCTGAGATGGTTCTACACCTTCATTTGAGTCCAACTGTGTTTGATTATACTGATTGGACGTGATTAGGAAAGCCACACACCTGTCTATATAAGACCCTACAGCTCACAGTGCATATCAAGGAAAAGTCCATTTATTTCAATAATTTGTTTCAAAAAGTGAAACTTGTATGTTATATTAGTTC